CACACTGCAGATGGATATTATATTGAGTCTCTACCCAAAGATGAAACATCAGCATTATAACCAAGCAGTTGGAAACTTCTGGAAGCTACATGCTACAAAGAATACTTCATCTGAGTTTGTTAAAGGAAGGATCAGTAAAGAGTAACTGATGGACGTCAGGATGGGTTTCTTCCTACATTTCTCAAGTGTAAGTACGTGCGGTTAAAGTTGTTGCCTCGTTTACTCTAGCTTGCAAATGTATTTAGTTGTGATTTGTTACTTGTAACCGCGTGTACTGTATCAGGTTAACTGGATATATTATCTTATCGCGTGCAAAGTCACGTTAAAAACGCGACGCGTGCTGTTTGTTTATGGAGCTCCGTGCTAGAGTTCTGCTCCCGCGATTTATTCGGAAATGTATTCCCGCGCCGCAGAAATCTGGCGCGGGGAGAGAGAGAGAGAGAGAGAGAGAGAGAGAGAGAGCGAGAGAGAGAGCGAACGAACGAACGAGCTTTGTGTACTTTGTGCTGTGTGTGTGTTTTTATACTGACAGCTTGGCTGTCTGGACTGTATACTGGGTGATATTTGGTTGTGTTCTCCGCTCTAGCGGGACCGGGCGCGGCGGGCAGAAAACGGAGCGGGTTCTCAGGCTAAAACCTGGCGGGTGCGGGCTGAAGCGGGAGCGTTGTCATCCGGAGGTGTGTGTGTGTTTTTGTGTGTGTGTGGTATGGCGAGTACACGACTGTCTCCTTCGTTCGGTTATCCGTGGCACTATCCACTCGCCATAGTGTGGCAGCTAAAGTCCACGCCTACACTATCGAGCGTGTATGAACTGTGATTACTTTTTAAATTGCTGATTAGCTATTGGCCATTTCCCTCTCTGACTGAAGGCAGTCGACCAATCGCGACAGACTGTCATCGGTCCAATCAGCGCAGATTAGCTCCGCGCTAAGGAGGGGTTTGGGAACAAATGAATCACTGGACGATTCATACAGGAGTCGCTGGGATAATTAGATAAAAATAAATGCAGATTATAAGACCATGAAAGTGTTTTTTGACCTTGCATGCATATTAGACTGTTGTTGGAGACCCTTACAACCAAGATATGACCTTATTTCATGTATAATATGGGCTCTTTAAGATTAATACTGAAAGAGAGATGCATAACAATGTAGAGAAAGAAGGCGTTCCGTGTCATTCATACAACCACTAAACATCATCATATTAACACACATAACCTAGACTACAGTAATTCAGTTATTTTTTTTATTTTTGCATAATGTATGATTATTTGCCAAATGTATATTAAGGAAAATTACTGTTACATTCATCTGAACTTCACTTCCAGGGAAAAAAGTCATACAGTATGCATTTAAAATGATGTAATGAGGTACTTAATTATAGCAAAATTTTAATTTGCCTCAACCATTCCATATTCAGACATATGACTTAAAGACATGTGAAATGGAGAGAGCGCCCTTCATAAAGTGCTTTTACTATGTCACAGGAAGCATAAAGAACAGCTGTAGTAGGGGTTTAATCTAATGAATATCCTCCCATTTATCGGCAGTAACTGGTTCAGATAATATGTGCGGTCTAATGTTCAGCACCCCGGGAGTGTAGTTGAGATTTTAACAGTCAGTCAGACCGAGAATTTCTCTTAAGATTGTGATTGTTCCCTTGCAGAAAGGGTTTGTGAGTGCAAGCTATTTCCAGGCTAAAAGGTTTTTTTCACACTGAAAATCTCAATACCCACGGGTAGAGATGTCGAAAGTACCAGTTCTTTTCTACCAAGTCAATGCTAAAACCTAAAATAAAAAAGTAACAATAGCAGTGTTTCTAAAGTTTAGCTAGTTAAGTAGCAACTCTGTACCCACGCAATGTCAGACTGACAGATGAGTGCTTTAGAATGCTCACATGTGAATTTACCTGCATACAGAGGAAGGACTTGTTCAAAATAGCAGTTTTTGTGTGAAGATTAACCACATAATGTTGTTTAATTGACTTTATGCATGGAATGTTCATAAGAACTTTGCACTCTATTAGAAAACCGTAGTGAAAGTCCCTCTCTTGTTGGTGGAGTGTGTTTTTTTAATAAAGAATATTAGATTTTTACTGTGTACTTAAATATAAAAGGTGCCATAGAATGCACTAAAACAATATTCTCAAGCAGAGTCACTGCAGAACTCACAGCAGAATTAAATGTGCACCTCAACTATCCTCTTTTAACCAAAACGTCAGGAGCTCCATAGGTACAATATACAGTACATGGCCGACTGTTATAGCCAAACCTTTGGCCACTCATGTCAATGCCAACCGTTGATTTCAATGATGCCAGCAGAAAATTCTTGGACCGTGGACATTTTATTTTTATGATGCGCTGTTTAGTTTAAGAAGCGCTCTCGCTCAGCACAGTGAAGATTTTTTTTATATCGTTATAACGTTTTAGTCGTTCGATATGCAGTAACACGCAGTCAAATATTTACAAATATATACACTTTTGCTGCTCATAAACAATCATAAAGTCCTCGTGCTGCAGATATTAGAAGGTTTCCTAAAGGTGCAGCTGTCATGCAGTGAGGGGTTTGCATCTTTAATAAACTACAATAGCTTATATTCATTGAACAGTAAGAATGATTAAATAATTCCATATCAAATAGTCCCTTAAAGGTCACGTCTTCGGTTTCAGACTCAGGCATGCTTTACACTAACATTACAAGTGTACTGTACCAAAGCCCAAGTAAACCGCGCTCTGACACACCTCTTCCAACTGGGCCAGGGCCGGCCAACTGAACCGCGCCTGAACCCGATTCAGAGCCCTCGCACTTTTGAAACGATCCGGGAAACAGGCCTTCACTATTTTTCCCACATCCTAGTTAGTTACGGTGTGAAGAGACCCCAAAGAAGTGTACCACCCAAACGGTTGCATGCCCAGAGGGATGCACATGGGATCCGTGATAGTTTGGGCTGCAATGTTAAAGCATTCCCTAGGCCTTAGTCTATATGGCCGCCCTACTGCCAAGGACTACTGAACTATTCTGGACGACCATGTGCAACGAATCATTCAAACATTGAAGTCTGAAGGTTGTGCTGTGTATCAGGCTGATAATGCACCAATACCCACAGCAAGACTGGTGAAAGAGTGGTTTTATGAACATGAACGTGAAGTTGAACATCTCCCATGGTCTGCACAGTTATCAGATATTATGAATATTATTGAGCCACTTTGGGCTATTTTAGAGGAGCAAGAAATGTTTTCCTCCAACAGCACCATATAGTTTTTCACTATTAACTATTTATTTAATTATTTAAAAAGAAAAGTTAACAACGGCAGTAAATACTGTAGTGCTGCAGAGTAAAAAAAAATCTCTGCACCAAAATACTAAGAACAAAAAGCATTATGGGTAATCAGTTACAATTCGCAAAACTCAAATTTACATTTTATGCGCCTTGTGTAAAGTACGTGACATGAGAATGTTGCTGTAAAAGAGCGGTACCGTAGATTAATGTCATCATAATAGCTTTCATCATCAGATTCATTCCTTCTCTTTGCAAGTAAATTTCATACAAAGTCATTCCAAACACAAATAGAGACAAATTATTACTGTGCGTCATGAATGATATGGAATGCAAGATGCATTTGCTGCGAATACGTGGAATTTACCTTAATCAAATACTTGACCTAAAACAACACAGTGTGAAACCAGCTCTTTTGTATTTCACGTCTTTGTGTATTGTGTGACGTTGCTAGTGCATAAGAGCAAACACTTTGTTGTAGGGATTGCTCATGGAAGGTTTTTTACTTTCAAATTACACTTTTTGTTTTTATTTAACATAGCTTCTTAAGAGGGGTGGACATGGTGGCTCAGTGGTTAGCACTGTTGCCTCACTGCAAGAAGGTCGCTGGTTCAAGTCCCTGTTGGGCCAGTTGGCATTTCTGTGTGAAGTCCCCTTGTTTGCAGGGTTTCCTTCGGGTGCTCCAGTTTTCCCCACAGTCCAAAGACATATGCAGTATAGGTGAATTGAATATGGTAAATTGGCTGTAGTGTGTGAATGAGTGTGCACAGTATGGGTGTTTACCAGTACTGGGTTGCAGCTGGAAGGGCATCCGCTGTGTAAAACATGCTAGATAAGTTGGTAGTTCATTATGGTATGACGACCCCTAATAAACAAAGGGGCTAAGCCTAAGGAAGATGTATGAATGAATAGCTTTTAAGAAAACTACAATTTAAAGAGTATTCTTAACCCGCCTGAGTGGTCTTACCCACCACAGCTGGAATCTACCTACATTTGATGGATTGGAGGATGTTAATGTCAAGCCCAGTTGATAGTGCCATTCTACATCAATTTAAACTTAGCAACGAAGAAGTTATTCCCTTTATACACCTATCCTACAAATGCACTCAATAATGTTCACAATTTTTATATGATTTTCAGGTCAATTTGACCTACAAGATAAAACTTTGACTTATATTTTAGTGCTAATACTAGTGTTATTCAATAAAATGGAAAAAGTTGCTTGACCCTACTTGAAGGCAGCTACTTGTTTGTAGTACTTTTTGACTAAAAATAAAGAGTTCTGATGAAAAAAACTCTAAATACCTTCTAAATTGTTCTTCTTACTGTATATAAGTATTTTTATCGAGCTCCTGGGTGTTGGTTTAGCAATTTCACATTTATGACAAAGAATACATTCTTTTCGTGGTTTTTCAAATTGACATAACTCAACATAAACTAAGGATGCTCCTTTTCTATGGAAATATCAGATGACACTTTGAGGTTTTTCCATCTGAACTCTTCGGATGTATTAAATGCCATATTGTCTGTGCCAAAACTGTTATTGAGTATTGTGAAATATTTCTCCTGTTAGTTTTGACTGCTAAAATTGCCAGCGTGAAGATATGGGAAGGCGCGTGAAGACCCCCTAAAACATTTCTCTGTCACAGTGGTGTCAGTACGGTGAATGATAGAGCGTTGTGTTCTTTCTCTGAATAACATTTTCCACTGCAATCATTTTTCAGCGTGATCCAGGACAAGTTCTGCGGGATCATTAACATCAGCGTGGAGGCACTGCACGATGTCATGACGGAAGACCCTGAGACAGCCACCTTCAAAGAGTAAGTTTGAGTCTGTTTTTGATGACACTTCTCCACAGAAGCGTTTTGTCTGCCTAATGACCTGGAAAATGCTGGACAAGGGCATGCGGTGTCATGGCAGGGTTTGTCTTGAAACAAATGGACAGTAATAGTAGAAGTGATTGTGACCTGTGTCACAATGTTTGCTGCTGTTTCTGATTTAGTTCTGATTTATGTCATAGACAGGCTGTGTGTTTGCAATCCTGAATGATTTGTTTGCTGTGTGTATATATAGTTGAGGTCAGAATTATTAGCCCCATTTATTTTTCCCCTATTTCTGTTTAACGGAGAGAAGATTTTTTCTCAACAATTTCTAGACCTAATTGTTTTAATAACTCATATCTAATAACTCATTTATTTTATCTTTGCCATGAAGACAGTACATAAAATTTTACAAATTATTTTTCAAGATACTAGTAGTCAGCTTAAATGGCAATTTAAAGGATTATTAGGGTAATAAGGTTAACTAGGCAGGTTAGGGTAATTAGGCAAGTTATTGTATAACCATGATTCGTTCTGTAGACCATCTAACAAATAGTTTAAAAGGGCTAGTAGTTTTGACCTTAAAATGGTTTTAAAAAATTAAAAATTGCGTTTATTCTAGCCAAAATAAAACACATTAGAATTTCTCCAGAAGAAAAAAATATTATCAGACATACTGTGAAAATTTTCCTGGTCTGTTAAACATAATTTCCGAAATATTTTAAAGATAAAAAGAAATTCAAAGGAGGGCTAACTTTTGACTTCAACTGTTTATACTGCATATCATTGAGGATTACAGAATACATGTCTCAATTCAATTCAATATTTGCTTTATTTGCATAAGTAAAGTTTACATTAAAAATAACATACATATTTATAAAAAAAAATCATTTAAACATATATAAAAAAGTAGTAGTAGTAAATAAATAATAATAATAATAATAATAAGTCAAACTGTGCATTTAACAATCAACATATATGGATAAAACTGTAATATAAATAGTAAAAATCAGTTTATTTACATTGATTCTTTTCTAATAACGTAGATGTGCGTGTGTACCTCGCTCTCTCTCTCTCTCTCTCTCTCTCTCTCTCTCTCTCTCTCTCTCAATTCAATTTAATTCAATAATTGCTTTATTGGCATGACAAATGTATTGCCAAAGCATTTCTAAAGCTTACATTTAAAATAACATACATATATATTTAAAAACATAGTAAACACAGTAAATAAATAATTTAAAAATAAAATGAATATTAATAGTAATAAAATCAGAAATACAAATAAAAAAATAATAAATCAAAATAAACTACATTAAACAATTAACATGTATGCATAAAACTTAATAATAATAATAATAATAATAATAATCAGCAAATTTACAAGTATTCATTCATAATAATCTAGATATGTATATATTTGTATGGATGGATGTATGTATGTATGTATGTGTGTGCGTGTGAGAGCACTTTGTAACGACATTGTGTGTGACTAATCGTTGCAGAAAGGCTAAAATGACCTCCATAACAAATACATCAAATACTCATTGGTAAAGTTCTTACTGTAGTATTTCTCACAAACATTACGTGAGATCTGCTTCCTTTATGTCTCTCACTGTGCTGATTGAGGCACACTCTGACAGGCACATGGGAATGGGTAACAAAAACAGCTACATTTGTGTTCAGAGCAGAAAATTCTGAAAGGTATAATAAATAATCTGTTGGGTGTTTTGAGCTGAAACTTTACAAACATATTCTGGAGACACAAAACACTTATCTTAAATCTTGAAAAAGAGGGAAAACTAGGTGCCCTTGATTGCATTACTGGATCTCTATTTAAATTTTACAGTCTCTCTCTATTTGTTAGTTTTCCTTATCCTACCTAAAAACATTTTATGAAGCATGTGATGCAGCAGATCAGTATACAGTATGTTTTTTTTTTTTTTTAAGTCATGAAATGTGAATGATGCTGCAAGGCAGCCAATATTTCATGACTTCAGGATGTTTCTGTACCCTTATGTTCACCTCTTGAGGCACTTTATCATTTCCAGGCAGGATGGATACACAACCTGCCTCATGCATACCTCAGTGGGGTGTCAAAAGAGGATTCATAAATAGAGTGAGAGATTATACAGCTGCCGAAGGAATGCCACAGTTTAGAAATGAAGTGTAACATGAATGTAATTTCTCTACTTTGTGCTCACTCCTTTTACACACTGTGTCTGTCTGGCTGCCTGTCTTGTAGCTGCATGCTGATGAGCCACTTTGAAGAGCCCAAGCTGACAGATGACGAGGAACCCCCAACAGAACAGGACAAGAGGAGGAAGCTGGTGAGTGTTTCACACCGGCTCTCAGGTCACAGATGTTACACGCATGCCTATTGATGGAAAATGTCACCAAGCGGCTGCTATTGATGAGAGATGGAAGGTGCTGATGAAGTCTATTATGGCTGATTGGCCAAATACAAATCGATGTATTACTTTTTCAGTTGACAAGTAGAGGTGGAAGATATAGTAGTGATGCATGCTTTACCCTGGCCGATCCGTTTTTTACTTGTAAATTGGCTAAATCAATTCCAGTAGCCAGAATATTATGGGTATGAGAGCACAATGTTTTGTGATTTAATTTTAGAGGCAACAGTTGAACTATGTGCACTAATCGTGATGCTCACAAAGGAACAACATAAATAATAGTGGGTATTTGGGGATTTAAAATAAACTGTATTTTTAAACATTTAAAGTGAAAAACAAAATAGGTCACACATGCTAGTAATGTATTTACTAACATGAACAAATGAGGAACAATACTTGTACAACATTTATTAATCATAGTTCAACATTTACTAATGCATTATTAACAGAATTCATGCTTGGTGGTATAGTTGATGAGTTAACATGAACTAACAATAAACAACTGTATTTTCATTAAGAAGTCCCTATTATGGGTTTTTGAAAAGTGCAGTGTGTAACACAGCTCTAACTGAGTGAAAACATCCAGCTGAGGTTTAAATCTGAAAGTGCTTCTAGTTTAAAACTGAATTTTTTAAAAGTTGAATCAGAGTCAATTGAATGATTCGTCTCTTGTTCGGATCTTTTGCCTGAACTCATCCACGTTGACTTGAGATGGTGTCAAAAATTAAGTGCCAGATCCATGTCATCATGTCATGTCATTTTCATCCGCTTATCCGGGGCCGGGTTGCAGGGGCAGCAGTCTTAGGATAGAGCCCCAGACTTCCCTCTCCCCCAAACATATCCTCCTGCTTCTATCGGGGTGATCCTGAGGGGTTCCCAGGTCAGCTGAGAGACATAGTCCCTCCAGCATGTCCTGGGTCTTCCCCGAGGCCTCCTCCCGGTGGGACATGCCTGGCACACCCCTCTAGGTAGGCGTCCTCGAGGCATCAGAAACAGATGCCTGAGCCACCTCAGCTGACTTCTTTCGATGTGGAGGAGCAGCGGCTCTACCCCGAGCTCCTTCCGGGTGACAGAGCTCCTCACCCTATAAGGGTGCGCCCTGCCACCCTACGAAGGAAACTCATTTGAGCCGCTTGTATTCGAGATCTTGTACTTTCAGTCATGACCCAAAGCTCACGACCATAGGTGCCAGATCCAGTAAAACTCAAATGCGCCTTTCCCTTCAGACACTAGCGGAGTGTGAGGGATCATGAGATCACAATACTAAAATAATAAACATGCAGGCATCTCTTTAAACAGGTCTCTAATCACTCTCCTTTAATCTAAAGATTTATAATAAATGTCCAAAACAACAGAATGTTCAAATCACACTTTACTGTGGTCAGGTTTTACTGTCAGGTAAAATTCTAGCTATTAACAAACGATGAACTATTACCTTTAGCTCAATAAGGAAGAATTAAAGTTGTACTGTAGGTAGGTTTAGGCATTGGATTGGATTAGGGATAAGGGAAAGATCATGCAGAATATGTACCTTGTAAGTCCAAATAAACAGCCAATATATTAACAATAGACAGGTTATAGGTAGGCCTACAGGCAATCTGCGCACACAGAATTCCCCAAATTTTCCCATCATTAATTCTGTTTATTTGCTTGAGTAAATGTGTGCAAATCTATATTTAATCAGTTTTTAAATTAATTACAGTAATATTATTGACTAAAATGAAAATGTTTATCTGATTTATGCACAATGCAGTTTGTAAAGTAATATTTTCTGTCTTTTAGTAGATATATTATATGAGAGACCTGCTTTGTTTACCAAATAAAGTGTATCTAATTGGATTTGCATTTTTAACATAAATTAAAAGTTAAATATAAATTATTTTTTTTATTTCACATATTAAGGTTTTAGTTATGGTATTCCCAAAATAATTCCGCTGAAATCCGCACATTTTTACCAAAATTCTCAGCAGAAATAGCAAAACACATCCGCAGATTCCATCTGGCCCTAGTTATAGGTCACTACTTTAAGAAGTAATGAGAATACTTAAAGGGACAGTTCACTCCAAAATTAATGAATTCTCTCATCATTTACTTTTCCTTCACCTGCTTTAAACCATTGAGTTTCTTCTCATGAATATAAAAGAAGATATTTTGATAAAAAGATAGAAACCTGTAATCTTTGACGTCCATAGTGTTTGTTTTTCCTACCATGGAAGTGAATGGTTACAGGTTTTCAGCTTTCTTTAACACCTCTTTTGTGTTCAACAGAAATAAACTCAGAGTTTATATAATCACTTAAGGGTGAGTAAATAGTGAGTACATTGTAATTTTTGAATGCTGGTTTCCCACATTTCTGTATGTGCTGTAGTTCTGTGGTTATTGTAAACAAACATACATTATTTTTTATTTTTTGGTGCATGATATAGGGCCAGTTTCAATGAACAGTAGCTAACAAAACAATCTATACTTATATATTTGCAGTTAATTAGTTAAGGTTATCAATTCATCGCAGCCTCCTTTAACAGTAGCAATGAGCAATACATGTTACAAGGACTGCATAGTGTGTGGTAAACTGTGCGGTCTATTGTTTTTTGTTTTCCTGCTTTTTCATGGGATCCATGTCACCCGTGGTGTTTAGATAAAAACAATAGCAAGAAAACAAAATGCCATTGCAGAGCTTTGCAGAGGATTTTCCTTTCCTAATTTTATTTTTGTGTAACACCCACATCGAGCATGTTTCAGCTGAGTGGAGCTTCTGATAGAAAACCTGCCAACAACAACAGCTTCTGCACAACAGCTGAAAATGATCAAATTTACTGTGTGAAGTGCAGCAGTTCAAAAGCCTGTTCGAGCGGCTTTAAGTGAGTCATTTCTCTTAATTGTCTGTATGATAAAACAGCCTTGGTGCTGTTTGATAGTTGCTGGCAGCAGCTGGTTTGAAATGAAGCACATTTTTGAGCTTGTGAGAAGCAGCCTTTACTCTGTGGTCTTTTATGACATTGTTTCTTTGTTCGAGAATGTCGTGGGATGAACGCCAGCACCAGAGTACTCGAAAATGACAACTGTGACTTTTTATTTAATCAAACATTTTGCAAACATGGATGAGGGGCCACTCATCTTTCATTTTGTTTGATTGGATATAGACATTGCAATGATACCTTTACTTTGTGTACTATTGTTTGTTTAAATACTTTCAGTTATTTAGCTTAGGTTAGGTTACTTTGAGTCCACATTCATAACACAATGCCACACAAAATCTCAATCGTGATGGGCATAAAGGGCATAAAACATAGACTTTGAAAACAGTTTCTTTAAAAGAAAAGTCTTAAATAGTCAAGACCCCATCAACCCCCCAAAATAAATAAAAAAAATTAAGTTAATGAAACGATATATAAAATAAAAACTGGAAGATCCAGAAACACACTTTAGTTTATGCCTTGTTCAACTGTCTAATGGCTGTTGGTATGAAACTATTTTTGTATTGATTAGTTCTAAAGCTTTACACTAAAAGCCAGCGACCAGAAGAAAGGAAACTCCCAAGGGCATATCATACACCCGGTGAAATAAGGCACAAGGCATGTATGGTACGATTTGTTGCTACTATCAGACCAGCGCAACTCTTATTTTCACATTTTGCATCTTGTTGTTTAAATATCAAATCCATTTGCACCACTTTGTGGACTCATGGGTGTTCCGGTATATAAAGGAAGTGTGTTAACTGAAACAGACCGTGCCATTGACCAACTAAAAGCTGGTCTAAAGTCCAGCGCAGAGTGTGTTAGTTATGCGCCTATGAGTGTCCAAGCTTATACATCGCTTATTGCACACATATACAGCAATACACAAAAATCTTTACATAAAAAAATAAAGGATTAAATTGTCATTAAAAAATTTTTTTCTTCACAAATATGACTTTTTCAGTTTAGTCATGACAGTTTGCATTTGTGTAATGTTATTATTGATAGCAGTGCTATGTAATAGATGCATATTTATATTTGTTTTAATAAAAGTAAGTTTACATTTGTTCACCTGTCAGGTTTTAGACCATATGGAGCATTGGAATCAGACGTGTGTTTGGATATAACTCAGTGTTTTGACCACACTTTATTATTATTGTTTATTTATTCGTTTGCTGTAAATTAGAAATGAATTTAGAAATAGTTTTAAAACATCTTTGTGCTTGACAAACGAAATTAAATATATAGGCTAATGGATGTCCTCAACGGAGTGAGTTTCCACCGTTTCCCTACTTAAAAGTTAGGTAAACAGTAAAAAGTAAAAGTAAACTGAAGAGAAAGAAGCTGAATAGAGGAGGCTTATTCTTTATCCTTGACCTGCATGTGGCTTGTTGAACTGTTTTCTCGCTAGTGAAGCATTCAGTTATTCCACTTACAAAGTCAACCATGTAAATAGCAAATGCATCATGGCGTGACACAAATGACTTTTAAAGGGAATGGGAGATTAGACCCAGATTGGCTTCATGCACGTTATGCTCAAAACGCACTCATTACCCATTAAGAGAATAAGCACAACCTTGTTAGACCATGTGGCAGGGTGCAGACAGTACTTTTCCGTTCTTAAAATAGCAAAAGTGGATTTGGACACACCCTTATTGCTTTTGCGCCATGCGCTTTAGACTTTGCGCCTAAATCGTTAAAATAGAGCCCTAATAATAAGCACACACACACACAGAATAAGCTGTGTGACTTAAAATTGAATTTGTTTATTCTCTTCAGCTGCCTGGTGTACACAAGTGACACCCCAATCAGCTTACTGGACCACTTAACTGTCTGATTTGGTGTGTTTTTATATTTAACAGAAAGGTTCTCAATTCATGACACCAAAGTAAAAGATAAAACTGATTTAAGAACAGCATGATAAAATAAGATCATCATTTGTTTATCAATATGGAAACAATT